CATACTTAGCACCCAGGATGGTAATCTGAGGAGATTGGTGCGGATTCGCAAGATGGTGTAGCAGTTTCGCCTGAAGCACTCTCATGCGGAAACAAGCACTGGCAAAGGCATTCCTCCAATATTGGTGCCCCTTGTTGATTGGTGGTTAAAGACAAAGCGGAGGTAAACCAACCGATTGGGCGGGTGGCTAGTCACAGGCAGCGTTCCATCGGGAAAAATCCATACTATTCGCCATCTTCAGTGGTCCGGAGTCAGCATTATGTAGCGGGTTCAAAAGAGAAACTGATGGAAAAGCAAGTGCGGCCCTAGGTTTGATACCTAATTGTTTCAATCAACTCTTCAACCCGCCCTGCGAACCTGACAAAAAGCAGGCAAAAGACATGAGTGCATTACGTATTTTGATTCACCACCCCGAAGCAACGCCCCCAAGAACTCGTCCTGTTCAATCTATCCTCCGGTGAGGTTACCACATTTTTTCCACAAAAAGGTGCATTTCCCAGTACTTCCGTTACAGAGCAACCCCTCCCCTCCCCTCCCTTCCCCCAAAAAAGGGTTTTAGATTCCCTTGATTTCCCAGTAAATCGTCCCGAAGAGGGTACCCTTGAAAGAGACCCAACACATAGCCTCACGGAAGCTTCTCAAAACTGGCTTCTGACCTCCTTTGGGGTGGCATTTACAGGGAAACAAAAGGTAGCCGGCCGCTTTTGGGGGGAAACCGATGCCTCCCTGAAAGATGTTGGTATGCCAAGGTGCTCCCGTATGTCCTCATCAACCGCGGTGCTTGCTGCAGATGCTTTCAGCGCTGGCTCTCGCGGCACATGAGATGGCGCGGCGGCCGAGCTTTTCTGTTGGGTGCGACGCCAACTGTGCGTCGTCGGGTGTTCTCCGCCCAGTTGCCGAGAAGCACACCCTTTTGGTGACGCATTGTTTTGTCGGTGAAACGGACATCCCGCTAACAGAAGGTGCCCTTTTACCTGGTGTCGTTTCCATTTTGGGGTCGGACTACAAGTTGTTTGTTTGCTTGATTGTTTTTTACTTATTGATTTATTTGTTTCTTTGTGTGGTTCTTTTTTTGCATGTTTTGCCATCCTAAATCAGGCAACACACAACAGGCGACTTGTTCTCCCAGTACAAAGTCAGCTGCAAACAGCTGAGGATATGTTGTAGGTAGGGCGAGCCAAGAGGACGACAAGCACAAGGTGGGTCTTGTTTTAGGGGACCCCCCCCGAAAAAAATAATAACAAGTGATTTTCCTTTTGGGCTTCCCTTTAAATCAAGAAGTGTATTTAATGCCACCTCACCAAGTAACTTTGCAAACCTCTCGCACCACTCTCTCATGATTCGGCTCAGTAAAAACAAGCCCAAGTGGCAGCTAACCATTGCTGAGCGCATGCGACGAAAGTCGGGCTGTGGCAGTTGGGGGCCATTCACCGCTGCCTGTTTCGCATCGTTGCTTCAACCGGAAGACGGCGGCCCAAAACAGACAAGCGACCCACAACGGACAACTCTGAGGAACTGCAGACATCCTTATGAGTATTGATCACATCAATGGCACAAGGCCAGGGTCAGCAAGATGTTCAGAGAGGCAGAAGCTACATGGTTGTGGGCAAGCAAATGTAACAAGTAGGGACCAGCGGGCGCACGGGTCAGACACCCCACGCCGCCAGCTACTTCTGCACGGGCTTGATCTTTGTGCTGTGCGCGGTGGCCTACATGATTGCGTCGCAGCCCGGGTCCCCGTCTCTGAGATCGTCAGGGCCTGGCGTTTGGGAGACTTGTTTGGGGTGTTACCCCCGGCACGGCAGACTAACCCGGAACCAGTTTTTAGAGGTTCTTCCAGGTTCCCTTGGCATATCCTGGGGTACCATTTTGGGTGTGTCTTTCGCGGCGGTACCGGGTACCCCTCATGGGGCTGAAAGATGGCGAAGCAAGGGAGCCATCAACCAAACGATTATTCCTGTTGGAAATTGCAGCAAACTACATGCAAAACACTGGAGACGGGTTTCGTTTTGAGGAACCCCCTTTGTGGGTTTAATGCAAACAAACTGTAGGGGAGTGCATGACCTCGTGGCGCGTCAATAACTTTTGGACGGAACTTGTTGGGAATTGGTGATCAAATGGAATGGGACAAGCCTTCCAGGCTTGCCCAAAAGTGAGGTCCAATCCCGAAAAGGGGGGAAGCTCTCTACACATGTTTTTTCTTTCTTCCCGCTTTTTTTGCTTTTTGTTTGTTTTTGTTTTATTTTATTTTTTTGGGGGGTCCTTTCGTTAATCTGTAAGGGAGCTTTAGGACTCCTTGGCTCCGGAAGTCTACTTTCAGAAGTCCGCAGAGCCTGAATTCTGGATGCTCCAGCGTACAGAACCGCAGCACTAGCAGCCCATCCGATGACTGGGGCGCCTTCATTTACAAAATGTATGAAACATGTTGTGGACAGAGGATTTTGTTTTCACAAAGATTAATGCCAGAGTGAGTTCCCTTGCAGCCTCTTTGAAAAGCATATTCGACGGCCAAGTTGAGGGGATCCAAGCCACGCTTCGAACTTGTGGTGCTTCAAGAAGCTGCAGGCCTGTGGACAGCCCCAACCATTGACCAGGCTTTTGGGACATTTACCTGGTCACCCGGGTGTGTCTCAAAATGGGGTCCCCACCAAAAGTGATGGCTGGTTGATGGTTGGCTCAGGGTTTCTCCACGCTGATGAACCAAGCTGGCTGAGATTGAACTGAGCCGTTCCGATGGGTTTCAGCCAAGTTGGTTCAACCCCTTTGGGAACGGCCCTATTTTGGGTAGACCATCTCAAAAAACAGGTTTTGATGACTCAGATCAGGGGCTTTTCACTCCCTGAGTTTGGTTTTTCGCAGACCATTTCAAAAACAGGTTTTGAGGCTTTTCACTCCCTGAGTTTTGGGTTTAGGGGAGTCGTTGGATTTCCCACATTACCCCACCCGAACCCGAACCCGAACCCCCCCCGGAGGTTGGGTGAGGGCCTTCGCCGGGGTACCCTCTGATTTCCCAAGGCCAGATGTGAACGCCAACGACATCTTCTTCTGCTTCGTGGCCTCCGCATGTCGAGCTCGTTCCAGCCGAAGGACTTGAAATCTTCACGTGGGTCTGAAGATGAATTCGATACGTTCGCATCCCCAAAGTGATGGGTCTGCCCGTTGGTTCCTTTTCCTGCCAAAAAGGACGCCCTCAAACAAGTCACTTCCACCAGTTGGGTGTGTGTGTATGTTGTTTGCTGATCTGGCTGAGGACCGAGCGGCTTGGTTCTTTGGTTTGCTCCTCAACCTTTTGGATTCCCCACGAAGCGACTTCTGAACGGGGGTCAAGGGCCGCAAATCGCTTTGTGGTGGTCTATGTTGCAACATGTTTGGTGGAGGCGCTACGCATGATGTGGCCTCACGTGATTTTTTTTTTTCTTTGGTTACTGTAGGAGTTGAGTCTGCAAACTAGCCTCTAAGCATCCGCGGCACACGGGGCTCACGGAATTGTAGGTGGCTAAATCATTATACTAGTAGTATACAGTTACATAATCATGCATAGTTTCGTTTTCAAAGTACGCCACAACCCCATTCTAATCAGTTTTTAGGATTTGACTTGTGTATGTTTGGGCTCAGCATGAGCCAGGTGAACATCCTGGAGATGCTCTCGGACAAGCTCATGGATGCCTGGGCCCCAACGAGATGGCTGGAAGCACCGGGAGGGGCCGATGTTGAGGGCCGTTCGAAATCGGAGAGAAGCTCTCTGGACTAGTAGAAGAGATAGAATAAATTCACGAAGAATATAGAAGAGCTTAAACAAATGACATAAAAAAGGATCGAAGAAGCAGACGCAGAAGCAGAAGCAGAAGCAGAAGCAGAAGCAGAAGCAGAAGCAGAAGCAGAAGCAGAAGCAGAAGAAGACATTCAGGTGCTGACGCAGCTCTCCATGGTGCTAGGCGAAGTGGGGATCGGGCGGGGCACAGCTACTTGGGTGTGGCGTATTCTTTTTGAAGGCTCACTGCCCTTCTGGAAGTCAAAAGGGAATCCACCATTTTTAGGTCCATGGGTTCTAACAGCTACAAGCATGCATCGGCACGGGTATGTGTAGCGAGGGTGTAGGATCATTCAATATCGGGGAGGGATTGTCGGGGATTTGAAGGAGCACCTGAAGAACACGCCCATGCTAAGGGTCCCCTGATTTGGGAAACACTCAACGCTTTGGTTGGCCTTGCGAGGCCGACAGTAGCCTTGTTCTCAAAGAGATACAAGACCAGGGATGAGACATACCCCAAATACTTTCAAGAGGGCGCATCTATGAGCTGCACCGCCAACAGCCCTTGTTTTGGGGGTACTGTTAAAATTGGTAGCTCTAGGGGCGCAACAGTAGTGTTTGAGGTCTTTGATGATCAGCTGCCGTTGGTTTTGGGGCCTTGCGCAGGTAGGCAGCGGTCTAAGTCTTGGACCCTAATCGAAGGGGATCTAAGAGCAAAGTGAGACACCAGTGTCACTCAAGCAAATTTGGGCCCCGCCCACATCGAGTTGTGTCGAACATGGCTTGGTGTGCTTGTGATTGCCACCTGACAAGGGCTTGTCAGCCAAATGACCTTTGATATTAGCTGCGTGCATGCACCAACAAATCGCGGTCACCAACAAATCTCCGATCTGCTACAATGGGCCACGGGCAAACTGGGGCTTGTCAAGCTTGCCAGACTGAGCTTTCCTTTGGAACCTAGCAAGCTCTTGGGCTTGCGCACCATTTGCCCTGGAAAAACCTGGGCTCAAATTCCTCCTTTTCAATTTTCGAGTGGAAGGGCGGTGTGTTCCCGTATTAAGACCGGCCAGTTACGTCTCACTTGGGGAGTCGGAAGTCAGATCCATGGTGCGGTCGTCTCATGTTCCGAGCGCCAGGCATAGTCCTGGTCTGGTTCTTGAGGAAGAAGATCGTGAGCCTCCTGGGCCTCGCTCTAAGTGGGTGGGTTCAATTTTTCGTGAAGCTCGGGTACCATTTGTTTTGGATGGAAATTACAGGGACAACCAAAAGGAGACCATTCCTTTTGGGGTTGGTACCATTTGTTGGAGGTTTTCAAAGGGAAACCCAAAGGAAACCCAAGCCAATTGTTTGGGCTTCCGATTCCTATTTCCTATTTTGAGACAAGCCCATGCGCACATTGCTTGCGCATAGTTTTTCTTTGTTCGTTGAAATGGCCGATACGATCCAGAAAAGGACGCATACCCTTTTGAGGTATGGTCAGAGGAGCTTCTTGCCAAAACTTACGGGCGATCCTGCCGTTGGTGTTGTCGTAGTCGCCGTTCAACGCCGACACCGCCGACCACGCGAATCCGTCCTATCGGCTTGCTGATCGGGAAGAGGGGCCACGGGTTCACCTTGCGATCGAGCAGTGACCCTGGACTGGAGGTCTTGGCTACGCCGCAGAGAAAGCCCCCGGATGGCATAAGATAATCGCAACCTCTTCGAATGCGTGCCAGTTTTTTGGCCAAATGGTCGGGGGGGTCAAAAGGTACGAACACTGTAAGACCCCTTAACCCACCAAAAGGGAAACCAAGCAGAACCCACCATGTCGAGGGCACCGCCCCCCCTGTTCTAGAGGGGTGTTTCTCAGGACACATGGATGCCTGAAGCATTGCATCGGCAAAACGGACACCTTGTAACTTACCGGACTTTACTAGGGGTTTTGTGATTGGATGTGGTTGGATGTGGTTGGATGTGGTTGGACGTGGTTGGCTCGCTTGCAATATCTTGTGATAGGGAATTTCCGGTGGTGCTTTTTGGGCCAGTTGAGCACATTCTTCAAAGTGAGCGGCTTCCGTGGACGAGGCAAGGATTACCAAAGGGCTTTCCAACAACTCCTTCACAGTGCCTAACAAAGGCCTTTGAATTTCCAGGCTTTTCTGTTGGACTCCCTTTCAGCACCAACCGTGGTTGCTCCCACCCACCGCTTTTACGGCCCCCAGCCGTTCTAGAAACATTCCGGCTTGGCAACTAACTATCAAAGTCACCCTCCCGAGTGGTAGGTCGAACGGAAACTCGAATAAAGGGCTCTACGCTGGATTGCGTGCTTGAGCCAATCTGCCACGGTGCAACCAACAAAAACAACAAGCAAAAGTTCGAAGTTTGAAAGTTTGGAACAAGTGATATTGATGTGGCCTCGCGGCCAATGGCGATGGCTTTGGCACAGCCAGGTGTCGTTCCCCCTCTTCCCGTTCTTGTAACCCGGCGACTCTGAGAATGGAAATGGCCCCGGCCGTCAGAATGTATTCTTGGCTCGGCGAGATTTGGTAGGGGTAAATTTGTTTAAACACACTATGGACCGAGCTAGCGGATGTTTAAAGAGTGGCGTAAACCTCTTTGGAGACTTTGACCTCCTTGCGGCTCGCGTCTTTTTCTCGCGAGGCTATGACCAGCAGTTGGTTCGGGCTGAGCTCAAGGAGTCGGGGTTTGGAGATTGGGTGCAATCGCCACGAGACCTGGGGAACATACCCCAAGAAGCAGGAGGGCTGGTGACCAGTTGAATGGACGGGTGTATACACAAATCAAGACGAGGACGACAATCAGATTTCGGAAAGTACGTGGTTGGGAAGGTGGGGAGGTGGGCGGTACTAGTTCAGGATCATAGGGAGGCCATGGCAGCTTCCAGCATTTGTTGCTCGCCCCCATTTTGATTGAATTTGTAGGGCCAGCATGCGAGCGTATCCCCTCTGGTTCTGTGCTTTCTGATGATGTGACATCAAGTCAAGATGCCAGAAAGCTTTCTCTCCATGCCGTTTCATTGGGAAAGAAGGGGGGGTTCTCAGTTTCCGCTTCAAAAGGGGCACGAGACTCCTTTCCTTTGCCTCCATTGACTCCATTGACTCCATTGACTCCTCAACTCCTTTCCTTTGACCTCTTTCCTTTGACTCCTTTCCTTCCACAGCCACAAGGGCCAAAGTCAAAGGCAACCCCCCTGGACCAAAGGCAACGCCGCTCCGAACGAGGACATGCTGAACCTCTTTGAGATGACGCGGTTCGCGCCCATCGAGGCCCGAGACAGCTCCGAGCACGGGTGAAGCGGGTGTTTTTTTGGAGTTGGTATCCTCTTCAGGCTGGTTTTAAGGGGAAGCCAAAAGGAAAATCATGGTTTCCAGGACCCCCTCATTTTGACACATACCCACTTGTTTGCGGGGTTCTCAAAATGAGACCCCTACTGTAATTTTGAGACTCGTTAAAATGGTTTCCGCGGGCTGGCTGGGTGCGTTGGCGGGTTGCCAGCCGGCTGGTGGGGGTCGCTTTGTTGTTTGGTTGAGTTGGTCAAATCATCCCTTAAATCTTGGAGCGGCTGTGACCCATCCACAGCTTAAGTTTGCTCCATATGAGTCAGCTTCAAATCATTTACTTTATGTAAGAGTGCATTTCAATCATGTTGTTTGTTTTGTGTTTTTCTTCGAAGCATGCTACAGGGCGTCCGACAAACCGATACCCCCAAAACTTGAGGGAAAAACACAGAGACGGACAACGATACGGGACGTCCTACATCGGAATGAATACAGCCCAGACAACTAATTTTGACGCTGACTCGTGCAACTTTTTAAAAGGGGGTTTGGTGGATTTGAACTCCTTGCGGCTGTGTATGCTTGTGATTGGCTTTTGCGCTCTCCCTCTTTCTCTTTCCCCAGTTGCCCAGTCGTGTCCTGTTTTCCTTTTTTTTGGGAAGGGTTCCCTTGAAGCTCAACCAACCCAAAAAACAGACGCCGATCCGTATTTTCCACTGGAGAATCCGCCGGGCATCTGAGTATCTCTCTCCGGCTCTCTCTCTCTCTCTCTCTCTTTCTCTTTCTCTCTCTCTCTCTCTCTCTCTGTCTCTCTCGCTCTTTCTCGCAAAACTGAGGCTCAGGCTTGGCCTTACAGCCTTAGGCTTGGCCATAGGCTTCCTACCCAGAGGCTCCTGGATTCAGCTTTCAATGGAAGACCCGAGCCCTCCATTAGACGTTTCGTCCGCGCCAATAGAAAGACCTTGGCTGAGTCGGCTTCGGACTCCGCAGGTCACGCTGTGGAAAGCCGAAGGCTGGCAACACAACGCGTGGGGTTTTGGGGCCTGGATCGTTTGAGCCACTGCCTTTGTAGGGCGCCAGAAGTGTCCCGCATGTTTGGCTTCCCCAAAAGGAAGACATTGGAGTTGTTTTTGTTTGTTTGGGGGGGGTATCGGTTTCGGGTGGTACCCTGTCAGTTGTCCATTGCAGCGCTTGATTGTTGGTGGTCTCTACTGATTTCTGGTGATCATATTGTCGGGGTATTCATATATCTGAACCCTCAAACTACCCGTCAAAAATTGGTCATGGCCCCAAACTTATGGGGTGACGTCACGTTTTAAAGGCTAGTTTCAGGGTCCAGGTGTTCCTTTTTGGCGGGTTCATCCGTTTTGGTGTTTTGCAGCCCTCCCGGCGTGTCCGTTGACTCCCGGCCCCGCGCAAAGCGCGGAGAAAGACACCGATCCGCAGGGCTGCCAATCGGCTTTAGCTCCCGGACGCTCTATGTGCGGATGATCTTGGGCTACAACGAGGCGAATAGGGGAGGATGGGGGAGGATGGGGGAGGATGGGGGAGGATGGGGGAGGATGGGGCAGGATGGGGCAGAATGGGGGAGGATTGGGGGAAGATCGGAGAGATTTAGTGTAGTGGCGTTTGGTTCCTGTTGTTTTTGTTTTTGTTGCGAGTGAATTAGGTATTCATTTTTTCCTGCTCAAAGGTTCCCTTGCAACAAAGACGTCAGGTTTTTCCCGGCCGCCAAGTTGCTTTTCTTGATGGGCTGGGGGGATCCCTGGGCTTCCATGGATGCCATGCCCAATGAGGCGCAAGGCGACTCTTGTCCTACACAGAGGAACTTACATGACGATGTTTTACCACTGGTTTCCTTGGTGGTTCCCAGCCATGCCCTTAGCTTTTTAGCTTTTTAGTGTTGGTTGGATTTCCATTTCACCCACTAAAAGTGAGTCACTTTTAGCGGGGGATCTGAAAACGGGCAGCCCAGCCTCAACGCCTTGGAACCTCCGAAGCCCGAGCGAATACTTTTTCCATCCCGCGCCTGGACCTGGCCAAACTAAGAAGAACCAGCTGCTCTTTTTTTTTTTTTTTTCTTCTTTGGCCTCCCTTTCTTTCTCGTCTTTTAGATACTTGTCCGCAGGTTTTGTTTCAGCCAAACAAATCGAGCGAGTGTCAGCGAAGGGAAACTATCCATTTTGAAGGAATGGGTTCCGTGGCCTGGAGAAAACAGGGTATAAATATGACATGTGCATGAGAAAAGCCGGTTGGCGGAGATATTTTTCCCCCGAGACCCATCCGGGGTTTGGTGCAGCGCGCGCTCGCAGCCTGCAACACCGCGTTGTTAACTCCGCCACTTCGGCAGGCCCAGCACTCGCGGCCCCACGACAACTGCACCAACTCAGTGGTCCTCCGGGAGAAGTTCACCCTGAACTACGACCCCGAGGAGCCAACAAAAAGAAGCCAAACTTGACTGGAGACACAGACACCTTTCATATGGGTGGGCCCATGATTTGTGTGTATATATATATAGTATTTCTTAGTTATTTAGTTTTTTTTTTGGGGGGGGGCAACACCTTTTCTAGGGAAAACCTCAAGAACATCTGAAGCCGATATCTTAGGGCAGGCATGGAACAAATCAGATATTTCGTTTGGTTTGTATTCTGGGGTTGGGCCAAGAAGAGGGCGCTGCTTTGAGCCAGTTCCAGATTTGCAGGAAGAAAGTCACCAGCTTCGGCTTTTTGGGCCAGCGTTTTGTGGTCTTCGGGTTAAATCTGTTGCGGAAGGCTTTGGCATTTTCTGTTTAGCCAAGTGGGAAGCAATGCCTTTGTCCCAACTTCCCTGCGAGGGACTGTTTGCATCAGTTGGGATCCAGAAATCCTCTGAACGCATGTGTTGGACCGGCTTTTCTTCGTCGATTTCCGGGTGTGCTTCTGCATGAACAGAGTTGGCGTTTGGAGGCGATTGAAAGCCTTAGAGTATACAGAATTCCTGCACTGGATGGAATGTTCTGTCGCATCATGCTGTTTTTGGGCAAGAGACGTGCGGACCAACACAAGCGGAACATAGGAGAGCGTGTACATGATGAGCCCAGAGCAAGCAACGAGCATGTGACAGCATGTTGTTTTTTGTTTTTTGTTTGCCATCCCTGTGTGGCTCCAGCTGGATGTTGTTCCATTGTCCCTTTGGCCGTGTTTTTCATTGTTTATGAAAACCAACATATATATATATAGTATATGCATATGTTTACACAAAGGAGGGTGCCCCTTCTTCCTTGGGGTTTTGCAGCAGAAGCGGCGCACCTTCTATTTCGTTTAGCATGGAAGTGCATGGACAGTTCTTGCGCAGCCTTCCTTGAACAGGTGCCTGTGCACTTTGATGTTGGGGTAAGGGAAGGCGCCAGCTGCCCCATTCGACGTGTCAGGACAACACGCAGGAGATGTCCATCATCATCAAGCAGCAGGAGGCCGGCTCCGTCCCTCGCCGGTTTGCCACCAACATTCAAGAGGAACAGAGTGTGGCTTGCCATGGCTTCCTTTGAATTAACAATCATGAGTTTCGGGACAAGAACCAGTTTCAGAAGGCCACCCGCAATATCTGGGTGAACCATTTATCAGCTGTGCCAGCGTCTTTGAAGCCAACCTGTTTCAGACCGGGCGTCTCAACTGGTTGCCCTTTGCGACTGACTTGCTCTGTTTGGGCCCACTGGCCAAGAAATCGGACCCTTTTTGTTTGGACCACGTGAGACTGGGAGTAGGCCTGTATTATCACGTTCTCAAACTCGGTCCATCCAACTCATTTGGCACTTGGAGGCAATGTCCTTCGGGCCTTGCTAACTTCATTTACGACCTTTGTCAGCAGTTGTGTTTAAACCCGGTTGCTCTAGTTATTTCGATCATTGATCATCCCGAGAATATTGCCATCAGCGGCCCCACCCTGCTCCTCAGGGGGCGTGGGAAGGTATGGACAGCGAGTAATGGTGATGCTTCGTTTCCTCATGGTGACTCATACTCTTAGTTTGACAGGAATCAACAGCAACGCCTTCATGAACCCAGCAATTTGCGGGGCCCCCCACTGGTTGTCGCATACTCCAAGCCTTGGGCCAAACTTAGACTGCTTTAACACCTATAAGTTGAAATCGCAGGATCGATGTCTTTGTTTTTACCCAAAGGTTTGCTCCCTGCATTTCTGGATTTTCGCATTTTAGGAAGACCACGTCGGCTTCAAATCCAAGGTGAATTCTGAAGAGACGTGTTTACTCCGCTGCGGAAACCCAGGATTCCGCATGGACCTGATGCTTGACTTCGTATGTGTTTCCATGAGAAAGCAAGGGCCCGGTCTGCAAAGAAGAACAACCAAAAGAATGCGACCCTAAGGGAAACAATAGGGGGACCCCTTCTATTCTGGTGGGTTTCCTTTTGGTTTCCGTTTACAACCAATCCAAAACGGGAACCCAGGATACCATCAGCAGTCCGGGTGATCCGCTTGCATTGTAGAACGAGGAACTGTTGGTTCATTCTTTGGTCACCATCTGCAACAACAAACACCACGACCACAAGAATTAATGCGCATCCATTATCCTGTCCACATTGCCATGGATTTCACCAGAAAAATTGCCCCTTCAGGAAACTCGCCCAAACCACCCCTCAAAAAAGAGCTCGCTTCCATCAAACCTCATGCCGAGTCGCCTCAACTTCCAAAGGGTTGATGACCCTACCAACCAAGTAAGAATGAGAGCCGGAGGGGTGTTTCTTCCGTTTTTGCTTTTTCACCGCACGCCGGGAGACCGGGCGAACGGGCTGAACCGATAGTTTGGTCGAACAATAGATGGCGATTCCTGGTTTATGTGGTGGTTTTATCATCTACCAGGGCCATCTATTTCCCCGAAAAGGACACCTATGGGCGAACCCCACGGCTCCCTTTTCGGCCCCCGTCCGCAACGCCCAGTTGGTGGGCAACGCGGTGTCTCAGCTGGCGCCGATGGCCGGGGCCATCGTGGGCAGCGTGGGCGGCCTGGCGCGGGCGCCCGGACGGAGCCTCCCCCCTTTGTTTTGCCCTAAACCAAACAAACCCCAAATCGTTTCGGCCCTGTACCAAGCCGAAACCGAAGTACTTATAAATTAAGGGTAGCCTTTTAGGTGCTGGTCCTACCTGGTTTCACGAAGGTGTTGCAGCCTGTAAACCTGTAGAACCATCGTAGAAGCAAAAGTCAATGGGCGAGATGGGCGCTCGTTTACCAACCCGTTCTCCCATTTGTGGTCTCCTTCAAGTATTTGTTTTAATATATAGGGCGTGACTAAATATGGGACATCCGAAAAGTAAGTTTTTGGATACCCTGAGGTTGGGCCAATGGTTGCCGCTGGGTTTGGAGAATGGATTTCGGCGCTACATCTCTAAGAAGGTGCTCGTGCAAATTCCTGGCTTCAGGTCTGTTCATGGGAGAGTTGCCCAGAGAAGCTGGGACCTGTTTTGATATCATCTCACATACGGTTCAGTGAATCTATGGACATGTTTCAGACAGTGTGACTACCAGGATCTACACATGCCAGTAGTTGGGGGCAAGAGCTGAAGCAAGCCCGCTCCAGGGAAAAAGGATGCAACGAATCGAATGCAACCTTTTTTGTGTTTTCCTTGGGTGCACGTCTGGCTGTAGCCTCTCTTTGAGTGAACCTGTGATGAGACAATGGTTGTTTAACGGTAGCGACCTCACGAAAGGTCTAAGGGGGGGGAGACCTCACCTCACTGGTCATGAAAGACGCTTGCTATTCGGTCGGCAAGTAGTCACTGGTATATGGCATCAAGACTGGTTGCCGAATTCGCATGCTCTATTGTGGGGTCCTCAGCTCAGAGTAGTACTCGGAGAAAGCCAGACCCACCTGAGCCTTTCACTTGGTCATCTGGCTGTGGTGGTTTCTGACTCTGCTTTCTCAAAGGTTTGGAAACCCCAAAGCCGGCGGTTGGGAGACAACATGGAAGGTCAATAAAGCCCTCCCAGGTTTTAATTGTTGGGGGGGCAACGGGGAGGCTTTTAGTTGAGCGAAAACTGTCCCAGTTGAGGCCTTGGATGTCCTCCATGCGACAGAACCCTTCTAAGACGTCTTTGTCTAAAGGTAAACCGAAGAGAAACTTGGCAATGTGTGCCTTCTCAAAACAGTTTTCGAGGATCCGAATCCTCAAGAGCTTCTTGTAGTCTTTGTGTTTCGGCTGATTTCTCCCGCCGATGTCCAAGCCTTCGGGAGGTAAAAACTGATTTTGTCCGCTGATTTCCAAGCCTTTGGGAGGGCAAAGCGGATTTTTGGCTGCTGGCTTTGAAGGGTTTCAACGCCGGATTTGGGCATCCAGGATTTTGTTGAAGGGCTTCAACGGCAGTTTTGGGGATGTCTTCCCCTGGGTTTTCGGCTTCGGTCGCTTTCTCTCGCGGGTCAGGTGACGCCCCTGGGCCCCGCGGCGGGGGCGGGGCTGGGGGTGGTGACGGGCGTGGGGGCGGCCAACTCTCTGGGCCTCGAGGCGCGGGGAGGAGACCTGAGCTCCGATGGGTCGGATGGCTTTGGTGTATCCCAACTGAGTGACTCAGTGGGGGGGGGGTCGGTTTTTTCCGGTGTTCGGTGTCAGCCCTTGTTTCACCTTGTCTTGCCGGTCGGAAGCATCCTTGTCGTGTCGTGCGATCAGTGCGAGAGATGCAGGGAATGAGCCCCGATTTAGAAACCATCCAACTGGTGGTGGTTTCCTTCTTTCAGGGAATCCCAAAACGGTTCATTCAATTTCTCATTCCCTACCTATCACACCAGCCAGTTATGACAGCCTTGGTGTATCCATTGAACTGAAGACTTGGGTTACCACTTTTTCAACTGGTATACAATCCTGACTGAAGACTGAGGTTACCATGTTTTCCAACTTGGTGATTTGGGAAAGGGTGCCCGGATCATTTTCCTTAGCAACAAGTGAAAGACTGTTTGCGTATCGAAGTGGGGCCCAGGAACCATGGGCACGGCTATGAGGGGATGGGTTCCATGGGTAGGGCTATGAGGGGATTGATTCTAGCATAAACCCGATTGGCGATCCCCGCATCTAAGTAGAATTATTGGCTGATGTTGGGAGATGGGGGTGTCGCCCTTTAGTGGGTGTCATCACTTGTTTGCACCTTTTGATGGTTTTTAAGATCACCTTTTTGGAGAGTGAGTTTCCCTTTGAGGGGCAACATGGGTAATCATGGGTAGGTCTATTGTGGGGCCCGCCCCTAATTACCAGAGTGGTAAGATTCTTTCGATCAGAACCCCAAAGAAGGTCCTAAGAACCTTCGCGGTGAAGGGGGGCCTGAGGGAGGACGGGAAGCTGGCAGGAAGGTGTGTGAACCTTCCTTTTCGGGAAGACTTTCGGACAAATTGTTGGAAAGATACCCGTTGAATTGGTTTCAGGGTCCATGGTCAGGTGTGTCGTTTTTGAATGGTGCCCTCTTCGGGGCAAATGTAATTGAGATTTTGTGACGATGATGAGTTATTTGGGATTGATTTACACATGATTTAGGCACTTGTCGTGGGGAAAAAGAGGATAGGTATGGGAGACACAAGTAGGGAAAGCCACCAGTTTGGACCCCTATTAAAGGATTTAGTGACAAACCTAGGTATCCTGATTCTTTGTATGGATTGGTTTGAGGGATTGGGTGCTTTGGGCTTGCACTGAACACCTCGATTGGGGCACGGAGCACGGCCGAAGCGCCGGAGGCTTTGCGACAGGCATAGCGGGTTTGGGGTTAGCTTCCTTTCAAGGCGGCCAGAAACGCACCCCTTGGTTTGGCCTCATACCCAAGCAGAGACCGCACGGCATCCGACGGCCCATTTGACCAAGTTGTCACGCAGTATGGGTGGTGGCAATCGTTCGACGGTGGCGCTTGCGCTTTCGAACCGCACTGGTCAGTACTCTATATGAACAGGCCCCTCCAAACAAGCGCACGTGTCCCTCTTGAAAAACCCGTTGTACGCGCGTGAGCATGCTGGAAAAACATTTCCTGTTAGAAAATTAGTGGCACAAATTCGGTAAGCCAACCTCTGCCTTCCTCCCCCCCCCTTAAAGAGCACCTCCCCTCCTGTTCCTTCCCTTTCGCCCCCCTCCCCCCATGTCCCCTTTCTGCCGCAGATTGCCCGAGTGGATCTCTCCAGCGCCATGATCAACAAGTACCGGGAAAAGAGTCAGGCGGTGGAGGCCGAGTCGGGCGCGAGTTGGTGGGGTTGGTTTTAACACGACATGACATGGCAACTGTTCGCCTCTTCCGGCCTTTTCACAGCCACTTCTGTCAAGCCTGCCGAGTGTGAACTTGTCGGCTTTCGCTCTTTCACTGCATGCGCGGCAGCCTTTTGCTACCAGACACACAAGTTGTCAGACAACCAAAGGCAGTGATAGGAATGCCCCTGCCTCGCAACACCCACCGTTCTAGGGATTCTGAAAAGCCAGCTTTTCCCTGAATCATACCTCCTTTATCAATGAGATTGACATCATACAGAAACAACGACAGCAACAGGGGGAGCAGATCAAAGGTTTTCCCGGGCTCTTCGAATCTGATCCCCCTCTCCCGGCCTAAGAGGACATCGGGCTTGCAGGTGACCAACCGATCGCTCATCGGCACTGCGAGACCTTATAGCACGGAGAGCTTTGTGGAGGCTGAGTGGGGGGAGTTTGTTTCGTTTGCAACCCCACAAAATGAATCCATGAGTCAAAGGACGGACACGTTGAAGGAGCAGCCTTTTATATAATTCGGAGATTCTTCAGGTTTCAAAATACAAACATCTTGCCTAGGGGCCCAATCTTAGATCACTGATCCCTGCAACTGAGGTTTACGTGACGTTTCAATCTTCGAAAGGTTCCAAGGCCCTACCCTGGAGCCGGGCTGCGAGTTGGCGGGTTGAGATGCCGTGGAGCCATCCGCATTTGGACCAGTTCAGAGCAGATCCGCAGCACCGCTTATTAGGAGGCAGTGGACAGTTGCTGAGGGTTGGTTTAGGGTGGGTCTCACTCTGGCTTTGAGCTTTCTTGAGTCTTGGGTAAGATGGGACCTGTTGGCTGCCTTGTCAAATCAAGCTGGTCCGTGCCGGTGATGCTTGCCTACCCCAGCAAGTGACAGACCCAGGAAATATCAAGCTGTAAGAAGAAGCAAGCACCTCCTTTTATGGGTGCGTCTTGGTTTAGGGGACCCCAACAAAATCGATACTTATGTCTCGGAGGATCACCACTTAGTTGTTAGCTTATGGCCGGTATCGAGGTCCATCTTCTTTGACCTGGCCTTGTCTTGTTTGTGGGACTATGATGACTTCCAACTCGGTGTGGCTCCAAATCAATCAGCTGGGGTTGTGCAAATGTTAGTCTTGCTTCCATATGCAAAGGTGCCATATTGGGTACTATTTCTCATCCATTGCGAACTATGAAGCTTGCAGAACAAACCACGCAGACAGACGGCTGGTTCATGTAGCGTGATGCTGCCCTCATGACTTTTGCCCAACCCCGTGCCAGTGCCTGAGCTCCTCCATTCAGCTCCTTTGGAAGATGCCAAGTAGGGTTGGCATCGCCATAGCTTGGAACCTCTGAAGAATGCGGGCCAAAGAAACCAAAACTATACTCACTCAGAGCAACTATACCAGTTGAAGATGATTCTGCAGCAGGTCCACTTACTTTTCTGCAGTCCGATTGGCAGCGTTCCCCTTTCCCAGACCTCCCATGGCCCCTTGGCCCCCCTCTCTTTCAACAATCACCGGAAAAGGCTCGGGCCATGATTTTGACGGCTTCTGAGGGTTATCAAGGCCAGAGAATGCTTCTCCTGAACCTCCTGAGGAGGGGGTATCTTTGCTAAGTTTCTGGGCCAACAATCACACATAAACGTGACACAGAGAAACGTGACCTCCCTTCCGCAACGTTTTGTTTCCTGTAGCAACCGTGGACCCTATTTTCTAGAATCAAATCTTTTGTTTGTCTTTTTCTAAATGTGAATTTCTTTCCTTTTGTAATGTATCACCAAATTTGTTTTTTTGCTGATGTAGATGGGGCGTCCAAAGCTGCAAAGTGCAGGTGCCTTTGGTGCCCCAGGGCAAGCTGTGGCTGTGCATCGCAGACCTGCCGGAGCCATGAGGCACGGGAGAGTTTACAGGCGGCGTGCTTTTTTGTTTTGAGGGGAGGTGTTTTTTTGGTCTAATGGTTGTTGTTGTTTTTTGGACATGGGCACGGACTCTAAGTTTCCCATGTTATGTTCTCTTGGGTAAGTAAGTTAATCTTTGACGAAACAAAAGGTTTGGAAAAAAAAGCCGCTTACAGGGCTGACACCCCCTGACTGCAAAAGGGAGGGTGTTAACCAGTGTTAACCATCGTTGGCATGGAACACCCGGTTTGTCGGAGAAAGAACAGGATGACGTGAACCTACCGCCCAGCCGAGTTGCCCAAAACCCAAGGTGTAGCCCAATGAGTCGAAGGCATCTCTAGGCGCTGGCCCGGCTGACAGTGAGATGCCTTCGACTAGCTGCTGTCGGGTTTTGTTCCCAGCCTCCCAAGAATCAGGTCCCGGGTTGTCGGGATTGCTGCCACATGCCCCCCTCCGGGTTTCGCCTGCGGCCTCCCTGGGCACTGGTCAGGCCCGGGCAGAGAGCCAGACCTGGCGATTCCGACCCGAGTCATTCGAGATGGATCACAGATTTGTGTGTTAAAAGAAACATATGGTCCAAAATCAGCTCATTTTGCCGCCGGTATAGAGGGGCTCCCCAAAAAGGGGTCTTGAAAAATTGACAACCTCCCCCCCCCCTCCAGAAGAAAAATAAGCGACTAGCAAGTTTTTAGTCCATGGTTTGGTTGTCGCTTCGAGGACTTTAGCAAATAGCCCAAGGTCCCCTCAAAGGGTAGGTTCAATCACCTTTTCGCCAAATGATATTGTGTTGGGAGCGATTTCTTGGTTTCCTGAACACGAGGGGAATCTGGGTGCAAAAGCAAGTGCCAAACCCAAAAGTGGCAATTGTGCAAATTCTGAGCTTAGTCTAGTTGAAGCCAGGTTTTTAGTTGACGTGCAGCAGTTTCAAGCACCCTCTCCGTGTAGCCCGAGCGAGCACTTCGGCACAACACGACATAGAGAAGCCTACAGGACTGGCCACGTGTGAAAAATGCTCAGCAAAAGGTGTCCGGCTTCTTTCTGCAGCGAGACCATGCAGTTCTTTTGTATTCACAGAAACCCTTGCATTCCGAATGCAAAGGGAATAAGCTGTTTCACGCCCAGTCACAAGTGTACCTGTGGCAATTCAGAAGCGCCGAAACGGGCGCAAAAGGTCGAAAAGATGCGAAAGTGCCAGCATGCTCAACCTTGGGCTGACAAACTGGGGATTCAAATCCACTGAAAAAAAACGGCTGCCCTAGGACACGAGGGATCGAGGCGATCGAGGCCATTGGTCGACTCAGAACTCAGATCCCCTGAGCTGGTTTTTCCTGGGAGGTCGGAGCCTTGCTTGAGAGTCATGGCGTTGGGTTTGCCGAGACCTTTCCTGGTCAATGTGAGCCCCCACAAGCCATCAGCTTCAGAGGAATCTCCGTTTGGGGCACCCTGTCTTTCGGTTTCATGTCGATTTGCTGGCGGGTACTCATTGATCATCCGATTCTGAGGCATACCTATAGATTCTGGGGAAGAGATTGTCTGAACAGTTGAGGCCCCCCTGTGATTGACTGACCCCGCGCGCCTCAAACAGCTCACATTTATTACTCAGCTACGCAAAGCCGAACTTTCAAGCTTGTTCCGCGCAGATTCCAATAGGCTAGCTGTGCTGTGCCGGTACTCTTGGCAAGCGAGGTGACTCCAGCCATGTTTGGTCAGCACATGTAAGAACACCTGACATTGTCCCTAGCACCCACCCTCTGAGGCAAGCCCCAAGAGTCAAGGCAAATCCTCGCCCTTGACGTGTTGATTCCTTCGCAAGTTGCACATCATTCGCGTGGTTCCCCGACAGCCCCACGCATCTTCGAAAAGTCGCAGGCCACATTTGCCAAGCGGCGCCCCTTTTCGGGGGGAACTGAGGGAAGAGGGAAGGATATTGAAGAAACATTGAAATGGCTTGAGCATATCAACTCCATTTCAGGGCGACAGGGAGGGGTGTGCCGCAATGGCAACGCGGCAAGAGCGGCTGGAATTTGAGGCGCGGAAGTTGGCTAATTGTAGCTCAACTGTTTAGCCCACTGCCCTTTGATTCTTTATGGGGGGTGGGTTGGTGGGTGGGTTGGGTTGGGGTGGATTGGTGGGTTGGTGGGTTGGCGGGTTGGGTTGGTGGGGTGGGGTGGGTTGGGGTGGGTTGGTGGGTTGAGTTAGGGTGGGTTGGGGTGGGTTGGGGTGGGTTGGGTTGGGTTGGGTTGGTGGGTTGGTGGGTTGGTGGGTTGGTGGGTTGGTGGGTTGGTGGGTTGGTGGGTTGGTGGGTTGGTGGGTTGGTGCTGGACGAGCTGTCTGGCTGCACACAGTCTCCAGCTGGGGACATGCTGTCGGTGGGTTCAGTGGCCCATGTGCGGTGGGAGCCGGAGGCACATCAGCTTTGGCGTGCTTTGTGTGTGCGTTTTGGGGGTCCCTTTGTGGAGTGGTTTTAAAGGGAACACATACCCACATGTTCGGGCCAAATAAAAAGCTCCACTTGCACACCAGGGGTTCACACCAGGGGTTGATATATGCGTTAGTCTCAAGATGCGGGGACGCAAAATACGGGTGTCTGTCTTTTGGTTCCCTTTATCCCCCCAAGCGTAAGAGACTCCACACTCGAATTAGTACGTGCTTTATTCGGGACTCCTTTGGTGGATATCAGATCTAAGCGGGGATTCATGTCATTTCATGTCCACCACTTTTCATCGGCAGTTCGTGAACTCCAAAAGCTCATAGCTCTAGGCGTGCCTTCCCCATTCTTTCCAGGGATCCGAATCTTTCTACAAAACCTCCGGAAACCCGGCGAAAACGGATCCGGTTTTTGGAAAGAACGATGGTTGAACTGCATGGACAAAGAATCAATCCCTAGAATAGCCACGTGGCATGCACACGTTGGGAGCACGAGGCCACGGACTTCTACGCGGCCTTGAACTTGGAGTCCTCAGCCACCGAGGCTCAGGCCCACGTCGACGTCGACGCCGTCGTTACGCGCAAGAGATGCTTAGAGTGAATCCAGTGGACGAAATCCAGTTCGCACCTAAGAAACCCTGGAAGGAGTCGAGTCCCCAGTAACTAGCAAGCAACCGCTTTCCCACCGTTTCAAGGTGGAGCAGGATTCCGCCCCATTTTGTGTGTGCTTTTTTGGTCTTGCCGGTGTTGCATTGTGTTTTATCCATCGCTTCTAGTTTCTCGTTTCGTTCCCTGCGCGGCTTTGTTTGGGCCCCCCGGTTCCGGCTCAAGCGTCGGGTGGCCTCCAAAATTGCCCGCAAAAAGGCAGGGGCCCTCCAACGGCGTTCTTTTGCGCTGTCCAAGTCTCATGCGAAAGAATCATCAGCAGTATATTGCCGGACGATTCGGGGCCCAATTGCGGTTTTCAAACGGTTGCTTCGGGTCATTTTAGGAAAGCCGAAAAAGCTCGGGACACCCCCACCTCCACCCTACTATGATTTTGAATGGGCAACCTCACAAGAATGTGGGCATAGGTCTTCATGGAAATGAAGATGGTTTCCCCAGATCACAGCTTCCGGACAAACTGGATATATGCCCTTTGTATCATGGCTATGTAGGAATCTCAACCCCTTGGTAGTGGTTTGGGGGTAGTGGAAACTGTCTAACAGGCTGTAAGAACCCACTCGCGTTTTCGCAGGTCAGAAAAAGCTTCCGACAGCTGGCTCTTCAGCCGTGCCCCCTGTGACTTGCGTCAGGTTAGCCTTTAATGGGTCCTGCTTGCCCAGCGGCCCCCCGGCTTTTCTTTTTGACGGGTTTCACCGTAAGTTGAACCACACAAGCGGTGCCCTTCTTTTCACCACATTGGCCGCTGGGCTGAGTTGAGGTGACAATCATGGGGTGCCTAAACCATTTCTGGCCGCACTTTATGAAGAGTCACGCCCACTGGAAGTTGCGTCATTCTGGGCGGCTATTTCCACATTTTTTTTTTTTAAAGGGAACCCTTTGTGGTTTGGGCTACAAAGAAAGCCAACGACAAACCCACCATTGGGGTCCCTAGTTTTGCCACACGCGTAGCATCTGGTTCTGAGCGTTTTGGAGCATGTCCCAGGGTGTAATCCCAGTAAGGAGCCCTAGGAAAGTGGTAGTTTAATTTCGTGAAGCCGCGGCGAGTTCTCAGTTTACAGTTGCCCACTTGGCTGCCAGGTGCAGGTTTTTCCAGCTTTGAGCCTCCAGTTCATGTCCCCACACCCAAAAATTGTTGGGTTTAGGCTCATGTGGTTGAGATGGAATGTCCCGGTACTTAACCTGAATTGACACTTTGGGGTGGCTTTCAATGTTCGCCTTTCCCAGTGAAAGCGAGTTTCCTTCAAGTGGGCTGATGGCCGATGCCGCGTGAAGCCAAGAAAGGACCCTTTTTTTTTGCGCTCCAAGGTCGAAGGACGCACCCTTCTGAGGACTTGCAAACGACGGTCTCTGGTTGTTTTGGGGGGCCTGTTGGCTTGCCCTGGCAAACCGTTTTTTTTGGTTTCCCAAGGTTTCCCATTATGAAGTTTAATAGGGAACCACCGCAAAGGTGAGTGGTGGACGTGAATCCCCACCGAATTGATGACCAAAGAGTTCCCATAAGACGCACGGCCAGCAGCGAAACGTGACTCAGGTGGCACCCAGACAAGCACCAAGGCTCGGAGAGGAGGGGGGTGAGTCCTCGTCGGATGTGTCCGTCTCGCAGTCCAGCTTGGTAACAAAATAGTCTTCAAATAGGGTTTGTCAAAATGGGGGGCTTCTCAAAATCGGCACTTGCCAAAAACATATTTTGTGGGGTTCTCAAAATAGGAATGGGTCCCTTAAAATGGGCGGGGTCCTTTTGGTTTTCCTTTGAACACAACCAAAAGGGGGTCCACCATTTTGAGAAGTACTCATCCTCGGGGCAAAGCAATTACTAGTTACTAGTTTACTCCTCCCATGATGACTAAAAATTGCTTGAACGTACTCCATGGAATTATTCTGACTTTCAGGCTTATATTAG